TGTGTGTGTGTGGGGGTGTGTGTGTGTGCGTGTGTGTGTGTGGGGGGGGGGGGGGGTGTGTGGGGGTGTGTGTGTGTGTGTGTTATTTTATGTAAGTATTGTTACCTTCATATTACATGGGTTCATTTTGGTACCTTCTAACGGACCAAAGAAAACAAAACAAAAAAAAAATGAACCAAAGACAGGTCAATGCTCTCTGTTTCCTCGGTCACTTCCAGTTTCCAGAGGAGATGTAAATTTCAGGCAGGAAAAGCTGGCAGATGTTTTGATAAAACATGTGCCCACTCATCGCTACCTCAGAACTATCTGCTCGGAAAAAACCGTCTACTCTTCACCAAATCCAGGTTTGTCATTCAGAGCAATGCATCTTCCAACCAACCTGCCTCCCTCCAAAACTGGCAGCCAGAGTTGATGTTACTTTTTGTGATGAGTCTGTTTTTTTGTTTTTTTTCGTCCTCAGAAAAGATTACCATCTACTATTACAAGTCGAATGCCATGGATAAGACGTTCAGAGGAATTGCAGTGGTCCTAAATCTCACTGGTTCCAATTGCTTTCTCAAGTGCTGCAAAGAAGGAGACAGGGTGCTCCTACAGGTAGAGGTAAAATGATACCGAATTTTTTTTTTTGGCTTGAAGATGTTTTTTTTGTTGTTGTTGTTGTTTTTCATTGGGATTTGGCAAGCAAGGCACACTACTGGAGCATCAAAGCTTTCAACTTCAAATTACTGAAAATAATTTAGGAAAAGAGCCATGTCTCCACTCTTTAGCCCTAGATTGAGCTGGGGTAAAAATAAGAGCAATGAATGTGCATCCAAACAGCAAGAAAATCAAATGATGTGGATCATATAGGTATACGTGCAGTACCCATTACATCCACTGGTAACCATGCATTTGTTTTAAACATTATAACTGCACACGTTAGTCTGAGTAAGTACTTACCATACTATATTGTAGTCTTTGTTTCTCTGAAATAAGAGACTTGCTAGTTTCCAAAAATCTTGTTTTACCTCTTAGCACCTGAAAGCCATAGACCAGGGGTCCCCAAACTACGGCCCGCGGGCCGAATCCGGCCCGCCTCCACATTTGGTCCGGCCCCCTGAACAATACCAGAGAGCATTCAGATTTTTTTTCATTTATTGTATTTTCCGGTTTATATGTGGATTTTTCAACCACCAGGGGGCTCTTTAGCAGGAAGTGTGTCCTGTAAATTGTGGGGCGCATTGCTGCCATCTGTTGGACTTTTAGGGAACTGCTTGACTTATGTTATTTAATCAGTACGGTTGTTTGCTAGCGGTAGAGCAGATGAACACGTGTCTGTTATGAACGCCGCATTCCAGGTCGAGTTCTTCGAAGCAATGCCTGTAAGTAGCAGCTCATAGCCTACTTCAAAACGAGCCTTTATGTTAACATATGAGAAATTAATATGTTAAAGTTACATTCCCTCATCCCTGTGACCGCTTCATTCATGGGTTTTGCCCATGTGCTTTCTGGGTAAAAGTCAATTGAGAAACGCGCCCCCCCCCCCGTCCGGCCCCCCACCAGAGAAGGGAAAAGTTATTTGGCCCTCACAGGAAAATGTTTGGGGACCACTGCTTCAGTGTGTTTGTGACCAGCAGACATGTGACAAGC